ACACACACACACACACACACACACACACACACACACACACACACACACACACACACACGGTCACCGTTGATCCCCGCAAAGCAACGCTCTGATAACGTAGTTAAAGGTAGTTTGGTCCCCCTCGCCCCGCGCGACAGGCAAAAAAAAAAAAAACGTCAGGCCCACGTAGTGGCATGCACCGCACCGCACTGCACTCAAGCCCACATCCGCCCACCACCAAACGCCGCCACGCAGGCCCACAGCGCCCTAATCCCGCCTCATGGACCGACGGTTCGGCTTTCGCTATGCCGACACCGACGCGCCACTGGTTCCCCCTCGCCCCACTGCCTCGGAGCGGGCCCGCGTGGCGGCGCCCTGTTTCTGTTGGGCCCATCACGCGAGACCCGCTTCTTCCTTTATAGTATTAGAGAAATGGAATTCCACCTGAAGGAAGCCTGAACCGCCTAGACGGGTTTCCCACCTCGCATTTTTTGATCCTGAATAAGAACAACAATCAATGAAGAGGATCACCATGGATACAGTTCAAGATTGCTTCCTAGTCGCCCTTTTGTTGACTACAAGCATATAGCGCGCCGCTCCCACCACTAATCTGTGGCACTCACACTGCCTCCGTAGTGCCGCTGCCTGTAAATGCTAACTCAAAACTGGGGGCAGAAAAGGTGTTTTCCAAAGGAGGCTCGATCGAACAGACTAAGCTTAAACACGACAGTTCAGAGAATGATGTGAAATGCTGATATGACAACTCATTGACTAACACTGTCAGATAATTCGGCCTACAATACGGCCTGTCCTGAAGATGCGGGCAGATGCACTACCCTAAATCCACTCGTAAGCCAGACCCAGGGCTTGAAAGGAACAATCCAACAAAGAGAGGGATGACCCGACTATAGGACTTGCACCTAAATACTACCGACATCTAACCAATCAAGAGATGGTACCTGTTATAGCAGAAGCTTAATGAATTGGGTCTTTCTTAGCGGCAAATATATCGAAAACAAACAACAAACGATAACAGAAGCTCAACAGGTCACAGCTAAGATGAAAAACTATCCTTGGAATTACAATTAGATACAGATAGAGGGTCACAGCAAGGAGAGCCGAGTCAAATTCCACGGAGAGACCAACCATATGCATCAGAACAAAGGAAACAATTGATGCGGTCAGAGTTAAACTAGTCACAAGCGTATTGAAGAAATGATCCTGAAATTATTACGAAAAAGAAACTTCAAAAGGCATAAATCTAACCTGAGTAACAGCTGGATGCAGTAAGTCAAAATCAACGACGACAAAGATTCTAACCTTTTCCTTAGTTCTGTGAAAATCAACAGGTAGGAACGATCAATTTAAAAAGGTATCGTGGCCGAATACAGAGCTTTTCAGCCGAACGCGGAAACAAGTGGATCCAGGCTATTACTGTTTGGTTTCATACAATTAATTTCTTACTCTTCATGACATGTACTGCCCTTGCTAGTATCAGCAGCAGTCCCACCGCCATTGCAAACTCTCACACTGCTTCCGCAAGCGCTGCTGCCTTAACTGCTGGCATGCTGAAGTACTCTCTCAGGCAATAGGAATGATGAATCCGAGGTTGCTTATGAAGCCTGTCATCGTGACGAATGCCAGACTCTACACAAATTCCACTGCATGTGGCCAGAAAATTCACCAGCTTCATCCAAAGTTATGTAGGGTACAACTATGTGGAAGGATAGCATAGAACGGAACACTCATCCACGCGTTACTCGCGGATGGAAACGCCATCATGATGATGACGAGAGTGCAACCCACAACTGAATAGCATGAAAACCTTGGTCGTGCCGTTTGCGCCTTAGTGAAAGATTAGGTTGTCATCCTCGTATTGGCAGAAACGCCGTCAGGACGTGAACGGGATTAGCGCTAACATTAGCGCTAATCCGAGGCCGCCCCGACACCTATTTTGACGAAACAAAAATTTACTTTTTTTGAGCCTCTAACAGAAAAGTATAACGTGGTACCGGTAGCGGCCTCGTGTCTGTTCACTACAGCTGGACCTGAGGTCCCCTGCAGTGGCTGATAAACCCGGCATGGACTTTCCCAGCGTGCCCCCGATCGGACAGGGACGATACCCCGACTGGGAGAGCTAGATGGGATACCCGTATTGATCCGTTGTGGCCAGACCTGATACGCCTCTGAAGAACAAACGGTCCCAAAAGGAAACCCGTTCCCCTCACATGGCACGAGGTCAGTCGACAACACCTGTTCGGCCACCCGAACATCTTGGATCAAAACGGCCAACCCTTCTCCTTTGACTGCAAATGCAAATGGAGAAAGTGGGTGAAAAGGGGAGTCTTTAACTTGGCTGACTTATGGGATGTTCAAACCAACGACTGGGTAACAGAAGAAGTGATGAAGGAATAGATGGGACAAATGTCATCCCTCGCTCCAGAATTACAAGAGTTGCAGGAATCAATCCCATTAGCCTAGATCCAAAGGCTTAAGGAAGGGTTGATGCTGGTTGAAGGGGACTGGGCTATGTGACACCCGCGGCCTAGGCCGCGGGCATTTCGGCAGCTGCGACTGAGATTCTCGGCCGCGGTCGCGGCCGATGAGGCCCAGTTCGCGGCCTGTTTTTTCAATATTTTTTTTCCGCCCCTAAAAATACGTCAAATATATATATATATATGGGGGTGTAGGGCATGGAAAACCCTACACTCCTATATTTTTTTTTGGAATCCGACTTTGTTTAAGATTTTTTAAAAATCAAAAACTAAAATCGATTTAAAGAAAATTAAAAAAAAAAAAAAAAGCAGGAATTTTTTTATTATCATTTTTTATCATGAGATATATCGTCCCCGAGTCGACCTGTGTTTTTTTTTAAATGAATTTCTGTTTTTTGCAGGGAAATGAGGTGTTTTAAAAAAAAATGCAGATGCAAAATTTGACAAAAAAAAAAAAAAAGGTTTGATTGATTGATTGATTGATTGATTGATTGATTGATTGATTGGTTGGTTGATTGATTGATTGATTGATTGATCTGATTTGATTGATTGATTGATTGATT